TGAGGCTTCTCCTGCCATTTTGGGATATCTTGGAGGCCTCTTGGGCTATCCTGGAGGCTTCTAAAACAAGCTTGGGTTTCCTGGGCACCCTCTTGGCGCCCTCTTTAGGCTTCTTGGATGCCCCCCAGGGGATCATTGCAGGTCCTTCTGAGAGCCCTGAAGCAAAGTGAGCATTTAAGATGTTCCCTTCGCTGCTCATCCGTAGCTTCGCCTACTGCTTCCGATCCCACTGCACGGTCTTGTGGGCAGCTTCTGGAGACTCTTGGGTCTTGGGGTCCCTCGCATTTGTTAGCGGTGTGTGTGTGTGTGTGTGTGTGTGTGTGTGTTTGTGTTTGTCTGTGTGTGTGTGAGTGTGGGGTCAACTCAGGCCGCGCTGGACACCTCTCACGCCCTGTGCTATTTGTAGAGGAGTAGGAGGAAGGGGAGGAAGGGGCGTAGGAGGGAAGCCACGCAGCGTGTGAGGGGGCCGCCTGCGCCTCCCCAGGAAGCCTCGGAATCGGTCTGTGACCTTCGCACCTCGCCCTGGTCATAGGAAAAACGCGACCACGTTCCGAACATCTGGTCAAAGCCGCGCTCCCAGGGCTCTTGGAGTCTCCGAAGAGGCTACATCATGTCGGCACGCCCCGCACACGCTTCGTGCTCTGTGGGCCTCCAGAGGGGCTCGGTACGCAGCCCAAGACGGCTCAAGGGTGCCCCAATTCGGCGAACCCCTCACGCACTTTTCGTGCACCTGGACACCCTGCAATTCGACCAGGTGTCCTGTCCCTCAAGACGCCTCAAAGGGGCCTCATTCGTGCCTCATGAACTCCAAAAACCCTCAACTGCCCCCACAAACCGGCTCAAAAGAGCAACAATACGGAAAAACCCTCACGCACTTCGTGGTCCACGGGTCTCTGGAGGCCCTCAGCGTGCCCTCAAGACGGCTCAATGGGGCCTCAATTCGGCGCGCATCTTGCACTCTTCGTGCTACATTGACCTCCAAAGGCCCCCAAGGGGCTTCCCAGACCTCCCGACCCCCGAAACCGGCTCTCGTCGGAACCTCGCCCTGGAACACGCGCTGATTGCAAAAAGGCGTATGCTTATTTCTCCCTGGGGCCCCGCCGTGACTCCCGCTCTGCGGGCTCAAATTCGGCGGCCCCCCCGCGGGACCGGAGTGGGAACGGGTCGGCCCGAGGCGTGGCAGTCTTCCGTGGGCTTACAAGAGAAGTGGAAAAAGGAATCTCAGACATTGCTGCCAAGCTGCCTGCCGAGACGGGTCCCTCGCACTCCGCAGCTGACTTCACCTAAAGTATGCTGGGGCGCGTAACCGCGCTCTAAGGGCCGACATGATAGGACAAGAGAAGATGCAGCGCTGCGGGTGGCCTCGCGCCCGTGCCCCTGGAAGACAGCCGGGCTCGGTGCATGAAAAGCAGCATCGGGAATCAATCTGCGCAGCGCTGTCGGGGCCGCCCGGTCACGCGACCGCCCTCAGGTGTCCAGTCCGGCCCTCAGGGGTCCAGCTCCAAGGGCCGAGGGGGCCTTCATTCCGCGCGCCCCTCAACGGCTTCGCGCCCGACTCCTGTCCTGCGGGGACCGGGGGTGACCCGAATTAGGGGGGTGAAGAGAGAGCCTCAAAGGGGGGCCCCTGCTGGCCCCAGAGGGCCCTAAAAAAGGGGCCCTGAAGGGCCCCTTTTAGGGCCCTTCTCTGCACCCCTCCTTCGGGCCCCCCCCCCCTCCCTCGTGTTCTTCGCGTCTGTCGTATGTTCTTGTGCATCCTGGGGGGGATGCCTCCGAAGGTGCTTCAGTTGGGCCGGCGGAGGGTCTCGTGTTCTTGTAAAGGTGCTCTTCCGTCCCAGGTCCGGCCGTGGTGCAGGCGCTGCTCGGGGGAGAGGCGCGCAGTCCTCGTGCCACCCGAAGAGCTTGCGCCAAGGAGTTCTGCCGTGCCGCACCATGCTCGTCGGGGGGCCGGCCTGTTTTTTGCTGTAGCCTGAAGCCTGTGCAGAGCTGGGATTACGAGGCGCAGACTTGGGAGGTTTAACGAATGGTGTCTTCTCTTCGCGAGAGCTCCCTTCTTCCCCTGCTCGGGGGAAGGCTTTCCCCTCCCCCTGCCCCCCTCCGCTGGGCCTTTGGGGGGGGGGGCGGGCGGATCGGTCAAAGCGTCCAAGATAGCCTCATATGGCAAGGCCCTTGCCATATGAGGCTCATCTCGGAGGCTCCCTTGAAGGGAGCCTCCGAGAGCCCACGATGGCCTCCAAGATGGCTCAAGATAACTCAAGGTGAGCCAAGCTAGCCTCCGACACACATCCAAGAGGCAACCCAAATATGGTTTCACGTGCCCGTCGGGCGTTCCAAAGCCCCAAACCCCGAAGCCCTCCAAAGCCTGAGGAACATCAGTGTGCTGTGCCTTCTAGCTTCCTCGATTCCGATGGGCTTTTGAGGCGTCAGGATGGCCCCACGATGGCCCAAGAGAGCCCCAAGACGCTCTTATTGAGTCTCCGAGGGGGGACCTCTATTGAGGACCTCTCCCCCTTTTTCAGCCATGAGCCTCAAGTATCGCTCCAAGAGGCTTCCAAGACGTCCACTTTGCAGGGCTTTTGCAAGGTTTTTGCGAAGCACCTCCCTCTGCAAAGACCCCGCAAAGACCCTGCAAAGAGGGGCCCCCTCTTTTGCTCGCTATGGAGCCTTGAACCACGCTGTCTAAAAAGAGGCGGGTACGAAATTCAGGTCCCCCTTTCGAAAACTCAAATCTAGTGCCGCGTTCCTCCTCCTCATCCTCCACCTCCTCCTGCTCTTCTCTTTTTCCGTCTCCTCCTCCTACCCCGAAGATGGTCCCAGGAGGTTTGCAGAAGGCTCGTAAGACAAATAGCGGGAACATCAACGACGCCGCCTAGACAACTATTCCCGCTGTGTTTTGCGCCCCCTACGGCATGCTCCCAAAGCGGCTGTGCAACTCCGTTCTTCCACGCGTCCCTGATTAAGCAACTCCCCTGGCAATCGTTTCTGGATGGGTTGGTGGGGATACTTTTTGGTCGGCGGCTCCAGGACGAAGGTCAAGAAGCGGGGCAACGTTCGGGGCGCTGAACGAAGATAATTCGCCGAAAGGTGGGGATACGCGAAGCGTCAAGAATTTGCTTGAATGTGATCATTCTCGTCGTCCCTGTGATTGTGGAGGCCCTCCTCCTTTCTCCTCCTCTTTCTCCCCCCAAGGCGTGCGAATCGACGGCTCCTGCTCCAGCTTTCCTCCAGGTTCAGGACCTCCGGAGCCCAGTCGGGAGACCAATCATGACGACAGTTACATGATTTAGATGAACCCCCTCGGGTTGGCGACATGATCTGGGGGCTCTAAGGGGAGGGGCTCCCGCTCGAGGATTCCTCGTAACTCGCTCGCAGACGAGTCAGACGACGCTAACGTTCGAGACTTCCTCCATATTCAAGCCTCGCGCCAAAGTGACGGCAATTATAGGTTTGAGGATGGCCGCCTCGGAATGGTAACATCAAGTGCGTGCCCCAAAAGGAGGGAGCTCCCGCTCGAGACTTCTTCCAGAGCCAAGCCTCAGACGCTCATAGGTGTCGACAGTTACAAGTTTCCCGCCCATGACTTCCTCAAGACCCAGGCATCTCCTCGAGACTTCCTCAACATTCAGGCATCAGGAACCCAAAAGTGACGACAATTACAGGTTTTCCGATGGCCTCCTCGGATTGGTAACACGAAGTGCGTGCGTGCCCCATAGGGAAGGAGCTCCCGCTCATGATTACCTGAAGACTCAAGCATCACCCCAAAGTGGCGACAATTACAATTTTTCAGGAGGCCGCCTCGGATTGGTAACGTGAAGTACGTGCTCCATAGGGCAGGCCTTCCTGCTCGAGGCCTTCCTCGCGATTCATTTGCAGCCGAGGCTCCCAGTCGAGACCTCCTCCAGATTCAAGTATCAGGAGCCTCAACATTGAGACAATTAGAAGTTTTCCTATGGTCGCCTCGCATTGGTGACATAAAATGTGGGCCCCCAAAGGAGGGGGCTCCTGCTCGAGACGTCCTCGCGATTCACTCGAAGACGAGGCTCCCGTTTTAGACTTCCTCAGAATGAATGCGTGAACTTGTGCGTCTGTGTACGCGGCGATGATGATGCTGGTGATGCTGATGATAATGATGATGAACCTGCTGATGCTGATGATGATGCTGCTGATGCTGATATTGATGACGATGCTGGTGGTGGTGGTGGCGGTGATGATGCTGCTGATGATGCTGCTGACGATGATGTCTGATGAGTATGGTGATGGTGATGACGATGGTTCTGACGATGGCGTTGCTGATGATGATGGTGATTCAGATGATGATACTGATGCTGATGATGATGGTTATGCCGGTGATGATGAGGCCGCCTATGACGATGATGCCGATGCTGATGCTGATGCGGATGATGATGCTGCTGCGGCTGATGATGATGAATATGAGTATGGTGATGATGATGCTGATGACGCTGATGATAATGATGATGACGATGACGATGACGATGACGATGATGATGATGATGATGATGATGATGATGATGGTGATGATTATCGTGGTGGTGCTGAGGCTGCTGCTGCTGATGATGCTGATGACGATGATGATGACGATTGCTATCGATACTCATGCTGGGATGGTGATCGTGAGGATAACGCTCATGGGATGATAAGTGTCGATGGTGACAGCGATGATAATGCTGATGATGGCGATGGTGAGTGTGAAAGGATGAGAGGGTGTTGTTTCGTGCGCGGGGGCGACTAAAGAATACAATAACCCCACTTGGGATGTGTAAGGCGTTACAGAGAAACGAGCTCAAGCTGTTGGAGGCCCAGACTTTACGCTGTCGCACACCCCCTGACGGAACCCCCATTGCAGTTGCAAACGCTCCGATGCGTCTACCTATGCGATGGGGAAACGGTGCTGAAAAAACGAAACCACTGGGTGTTTGAAAAGCATCGGTCATCACTGCTCGGTCCCTGCTCTGCACTGTCATCTCCAACCATCCCGAAGCCGCCTTGTACTGGAAAAAGAAGGCGAACGCTATGTTGATCACTCCGAGCACCTGGTCGCTGCATTGGACAACTCTACTGCTCCTCCGCACTCGAAACTATGACCGCTCCTAAGTCTGTCATTATCATGTTCTTGTGGCACATCACCTGAGAAGCCCCGCCGCTCTGAAGTAGGAGGACGAGGAAGAGGGCAGGAAGAGGAGGCGCGGGGACAAAGTGATCTAGGATGGGGAGCAGGATTCAAGCCAGTTTTAATTCCAATTTAAAGCCCAAGCGCTGATCTCGAACGTGCTCTTCAGCTCCTCCTAATTATGCTTCCTCATCCCCTACTTTTCTCCTCCATTCGTTGAGATCAAAAATCTATCAAATCTGTCCCGAGAACGAACTGCGAAATTGTGACCACAAGACCCGGACTTGGACACTGGTACCTCGGCGCAAACGAGCGCTTCTGCGCACTGCGTGAAGCATATACAATATGCCAGTAGTCGGCTCGTCGACATACATGGTTTACTGTACAAGTGCACATTCCCCAATCAAAGAAGAAATATCGATTCAAAGATAAACATTCGGAGGTCTGCGGGGACCTCCGAAGCTTTCTGTTTATGATGCTCTGTGATTTTGGAGAAACTCTTGCTCGTTCTGGGGCGAATTTGGTCTGTGCGTGGGGGTCCTCACGTTGTTGGTCATAGGGTTAGGTCGGGCATGTCCTGCTACAGACGGATTTTGGACGTAAGAAGAAAAATAGTCAAACCACATAACAAAATAGACAGAAATAATCGAATCATCGTCCCCAGTACTTTTTGACTGTTTTTGAACGTTCCTCCTGTAGGGCGACGTCCCCGACTTAATCATAAGGTATTGGCCAGAAGGTCCTTTCCATGGAGTCCCGTCCATCAAGTCTCGCTGAACAGGTGCCGCCAATGGGGCGGTCGCGGGGCGCCCGCCCGTCGGGTGATCGAAGGGCCAAGTCGAGGCCAAGGCTGGGACACCATCGGACCGGGACAAACCAGGGATCTCGCAGAGGAGGATACATCGGGCGCCAATGCTGTTCCAAACCTGGCGGTTCTGGAAGGTATACCAGGCGCCAGTGCCGTTCCAAATCTGGCGGTTTTGGAGGATCCATCGGGCGCCAATGCCGTTCCAGAGCGCCCCAGAACGCTCAGAGAGCGCTCCAGAACGCTCTGGAACCTCTTATCCTGGTCCTGGCCCCGCGCGAGGAGATCTGGCTGTTGTTGGCCACAATTCGCGCACCCACAGGGCGATCGCCGGGGTCCAGCCCTTGTTGGCCATGAACTCTCGCCCTTGCATTCCCGCCGAGAGGTCATCGCTGTTGCTGGCCACAAGAATCCGCTCATGATCCCGCTCATGCGTTTTCTCCTACAAGGTTTCTGCCTTTGTTGCTCTGCTCATCATCTTTAGCTGTTCGGTGTCTTCGCGCTGGGATCACTACATGCGGTCAAAGTGCAAGCTGGTGTGCTACTGAAGTGACGCGCCGTCGACGTTCCAATGTTTAGTGGCGCATGCCTCCTGTGGTTTGTGCAGTCGAATGTAAGTACTCGTTCGGCATGCGGATGGTCCACACGATAGAGACACAGTCTACGCCATTCGCATGTAACACGTCGCATTCCATATTCGACGTGGCTACTCTATTACGATGCTGCGTACAGGTACGGTGCGAAACAATACAAGCCACACGCCTTACGATCATGCCGTGCGCATGTGATGTTTGTTATTTACCAGCGTATGGCGAGGCATGTAACGCAAGCGATCGCCAGGTCGTGCGTCACGTCGACAGCCCAGTGGTGTGACCACGGTGATGCAAGACGAGGAGGAAGAGGATGAGGAGGAAGAGAAGGAGATTCCAGCGGAGATTCCCCTCACGACTGATGTCGATAGGAGGTGGAGAAGGAGGAGGAGGAGGAGGAGGAGGAGCAGGAGGAGGAGGAGGACACGGTGGAGGGGGGTAGGTTCAAGGAGAAGGGAGGGGCCGTACCCCCGAGTTGGCCACGAAGCGCCTCCAAAAGGACCCCGCCATCGGCCCGAGAGCGCTCGAGGTCGCCCCGGGGTCCCCCTGAGATCCCCCGCCCTGCTGCCTATGCTCCTCGCCGGTCCCCGCCCCCCGTGAGGACGCCTCTCGCCACTCCCCCGCCAGGGGCCCACGTCCTCCTCTGGCTCCTCCTCCTCCCCCTCCGCCTCCCCTCCCTGGGGGCGGCCAGGCACCTGATCCTTGATGTCGCCGAGGAGGATGGCGCATAGACCTGCCACTGGCATGCAATCCCCTCCCTGTGTGAACGTGCTCTCACTCGGTGTTTCGACAGTGGGCGGAAGGTGGCGACGAGGGGGGGGTCTGGCTCTGGACCTCTGCTAAATGCGACCGTTTGCAACAGAGCGTCCCATGGGGGAGACTCCACCTGCTCGAAACAAGCGCCCAAAGCAGCCAAGATCTACTCCATGGGGGGTGGGGGAGTGCGAGGGCCCGCGCCGATCGGCAAAACAATGAATAATAAAACGGTCACCTGTGCTGTGTCTGCTCCTCGACCTCCACCTCCCTCGTCACTCCTACCTCCTGCGAGGCTGGGACATCTCACGCGGGTCGCCGGCTCTCCCTGGCAATATGTGGTCTCGTGGCTCAACTTTCGACCGGTCTTGGGCTAGGACCGCACACGCCACTGAGTGGATTGTCGTTGAATTGCTGGTGAGGCCTGGTGGGACTGCAAGCGTGCATCTTCCTCCACGCCCGTTTGAGTAGGACGAGAGAGATCAACACCCGGCCGGAGCACGACTCGAGCGAACGGCTGCCCACGTGGGCATTGCGTGGCCAGCATTGGACATCCCGTGCTCTTGAGCCCTCCTTCGTCCAGACGGCTAGGCTAGGAACGCTGCTGAGGAGCGGGCCAGGGAGCTATCCTGAGGGGTGCGAGACCGAAACGCCCTGCCTGCTGCAATTGAAGATTGTGATCCTTCACGCTGCTGCTGCTGCTGCTGATGATGAAACGATGGCCGAAACAGTTCCGTGGAGCAACAACTGAATACAGCGCGCCAGTGACTATGACGCCGCCCATTCATGGCCACCAGATTCCAGGTGAATTTTGCTGGCCAAGCCCTTCAAATTCTTGGTACCTCTGTATCCTACGTGCGAACAGGGGGGAGGGGAGCAGGAGGAATCAGGAAGCAGGAGGAACCAGAGAAGCACCAGGAGCATATTCGGTGCAGGGCCTGGTCCTTTCTCCGGCGTTCCCCCCGCCTCGGACCCATGACGATGGAGACAGCCACGAAGGTGCTGAGGGGTCTCTCCTGTCCCACGACGCTCTTGAGAATGCTCTCGTGCCGTCAACCGAACTTACCCTCCTCCCAAGATGCCTCTTCTTTCTCTTCCTCTGTCTCCTCGCACCCCCTCCTCCGCAATGGCGTTCAAATCCTGGGCGTTCCCCTATCCCCCTCCTCTATTCCTTCCGTGTTGGAGAAGGAGGTGGACATCTGAGGGGTCAGGCACCAGCCAACACTGCGAAATGAATCAAGCTGCCACAAACAAACGTGATACATAAACGAACATTGCTTCCCGTCAGCGTATGACCAAAAGGTGCTCGGTGTGCACATGCATGGTGCGAACATTCATTGTACCTAGGTACACCTATTATACACATGTATGTAGTATATGATCTAGGGTTGCGCCTCCCCCCCCAGCGCATAAGGGACCGAGCCCCATCCCCCCAGATGGGTACGCCCGTGAGCCTCGCGAAGGCCTCGCGAATGGGATCGCCCCCCCCCTGTGATGGTGGCCCTGTGGGTGTGGGGTGGTGGAGGTGCCCGTGCACCCCTGTCGTGGGGTGTGGGGTGTGGGGTGGTTCGTCGTGGTCGTCGTCGTCGTCGCCGCCGCCGCCGTCGGCGTCGGTGTCGGCGTCAGCGTCGTCGTCCCATCACATCTGGGGGGAAGGAGCGCCTGTGGAACCCTGGGGCCCATCCCATCCGGGGGGGCGGTCTGTGAACCCTCGACCGGGATTCTGTAGGGCCCCCCTCTCTTTTCCACTGCGTATTGCTACACTTCCCTAAGCACGGCAACTCGCCCAAAGACCGTTTCTGGATGGGCTTATGGGGATACTTTTCCGGTCGCGGCCGCGAGCGAAGAGCGAAGGCGGCGAAAGCAATTGTCTGGGGCTGCGAACAAGGCTAATTAGCTGCAGGGCGCAGAACGGGCCGGCCGGGCCAGCTCACAAGGCGGCCGCTGGGGCAGCAGGGCGGGGCTGACTGGCTGACGGGCACCCAGGGAAGCTCGAGCATCGTGCAGCCCAGAGCAAAATGCCAGGGAATTCGGTGCACGCCCTGCGGCGTTGGACCACTCGGTAGGGGCGGGAACGTAGGTGAGCTTCCTGCCAACACCCCTCTCGCGCCTGGTGGCCACGAAGGCGAGGTAAACGATGGTCGAGTCGCCAGCGTGGCGCCACGGGCCAAAACCGTGCCAACGGCGTATACCAGCCAGGTGAGCTGAGCAAGAACCGAGATGACGGCGTAGACCTGCCTGAACGGCTGGGACGGAGCCAGGATGGAGCTCTGCGTGAGACGGAAGGCTGAACCACTCCGAGGCGACCGCGAGACTCCCGGGGCCCACCATTCCCGAGCACGGACAAGGGCCGGCCCTGTGGAGAGCCCTGTGGGCCCGGCCCATGTCACACGCCTGTCATAGCGTGCTGAGGCGCCGCACTGAGTGTGGCAGTAGCCAGACTGGCGTGGATGAACATCGCCAGCATCGCAGCTTATGGGGATACGCGAAGCGGCAAGAACAAGTTCCCCGACCTAGGTCCAAGGAGCGGCGGCCCCGAAAGCCAGGAACCCCTCATTTCAGAACCTCTGAAGCGCGGCGTCCAACACAATGGATTTCCCGGCCACGAGGGGACCAAGCACGTCTCGACTGCGCATGGACTCGCACCGTGGCAGCCGACGGGGCCATCCACCGACTCCCCCAGGGGGCCGCGGGAGGGTGGGACGGGGGAGGGCCCGAGTAGGAGGTCGGACGAAGAGGGTGAAGGGGGGAGGAGGAGGAGAAGACGAGGGAATGGGAGGAGGGGGAGGGGGAGGGGAGTGAGGAGGGGGAGGAGGAGAATGACCGTGGAATGGGGGAGGGGGAGAGAACGGGGGGGGAGGAGGAGGAGGACAAAAGAAAAAAAAAAAGGGATGGGGACGGGAGCGAAGAGGGAGAAATGGTCCCGCTCCAGCTCTCCACGAGCGTGATCCGCTCAGCCGGGGCGTCGTGGGGCAGGGAGGGGGAAGGGGGAGGGAGGGGGGAGGGGAGGGGGGAGGGGGGGTGCAGGGAGGGAAAATCGGGGATGGACAGAGACCCGTTTAGTAAAACGTGGTTTAGTGAAGGCGACCTCGGGCCCAAACATGGTGGCCGCAAGGCTGGGAAATGACGGCCGCGGCGCTCTCCCGAGAACCGAAAACGGAGAATTCACTAATCGACGTGTCAGGGTGGAGGTTCTCAACCCCCGAGGGAAGGGG